TTAGCTTAGCTTCAGCTTAGCTTCAGCTTAGCTTTAGCTTAGCTTTAGCTTAGTGTTAGCTTAGTGTTAGCTTAGCCTTAGCTTAGCTGTTGCTTAGCTCCAACTTAGATTTAGCTTAGCTTTAGCTTAGCTTTAGCTTAGCTTTAGCTTAGCTTTACTGTTACTACTAATGCTGCTTTCCTAGGGGCTCCAACTCCTAGGTAGGGTCGCACTGGGAAATTGTTTTATCCACCACCAACACCAACACCACCATAGGTTGAAGGGGGGGAAGGAGGAGGAGGACGAAGAGGACAAGGAGGAGGACAAGGATGAGACGCTGCATGGGAGCGGCCGCGCAGTTCGCGCGCACGAAGGCCGCCACCAGCGAAGGAGGCAGGCGCAAGCGCCGCCTCAAGCCTGAACAAGGTGGCCCCCCACCCGAGGGATCGCGGAGGAGGACGAGGAGGAGGACGAGGAGGAGGAGGAGGAGGAGGAGGAGGAGGTGGAGGTGGTGGTGGAGGAGGAGGAGGACTCCCTCCCCCTCCAACTTCTGGTGGTGGTGGTGGTGGAAAACAGGCCCATCAAGCTTCGCCGCCCGAAACCACCCTGTCCAGGGCCCCCTCGCCCAACGGACGCGGTTCCGCTGGGGCCCGCCCGCCCGCCTGCCGTGCCTCGCCTGCCCGCTACCACGACCCGCCCGCGTCGGGGCCCGCCCGCTTCCACGACCCGCCCGCGCTAGGCGCATCGGCGGCGAGCGAGGGGGGGAAGTGAGAAGGGGAAGGCCGTCTCAGAAGGCAGCAGGACTTCTCAGAAGCCCTCGCGCCTTCTGAGAGGTTCTCCGCGCATTCGGGGAAGGCTCCAGAAAACTTCTCAGAAGATCGGGGGACCTCCGAGCCTTCTGAGAAGGCCTTCTCTAGGGGAGCGAAGGATGACATAAACATAAAAATCAGAGGTCCGCGCGGATTTCTCGGATCCGCGCTGGACCCCGCTCCCTGGCGCGCGGAGCGCGCCAGGGGCGGCGCCAGAGGCGCCGCCGTGGGGCCCCAGCGCGGATCCGAGAAATCCGCGCGGACCTCCGAGTTGTTATGTTTATGTCACTGTTCGTTCCCCTAGAGAAGGCCTTCTCAGAAGGCTCGGAGGTCCCCCGACCTTCTGAGAAGTTTTCTGGAGCCTTCCCCGAAAGCGCGGAGAACCTCTCAGAAGGCGCGAGGGCTTCTGAGAAGTCCTGCCGCCTTCTGAGACGGCCTTCCTCTTCTCACTTCCCCCCCTCGCTCGCCGCCGAGCTTAGGTCAAACAAAAAAAAAAGAAATGCTCGAAAGAACTCGAAAAATCGTCCGTCGACTATTTTTCACAATTCTTGAACATTCCTTCTGTAGAGGGACAGGCCCGACTTCACGCTAGGCCCAGACATCCGACGGCTCGAAAATATCGGGGCGGAGGTTCTTCATAGCTTTCGGCATGTCGGGGCCCTCACGTCAACAAACGACTCGGACTGAAACACCGGTCCTGGGGAAGTGGTCGGGAGGTCGGGGGCCCGTGTCTCGAAAAAATCGAGGCGCCGGATGGCCGGGGGGCCCACCCGCCCGGCCTGCCTGGCAGGGTCTGGCCGCTCGCGTGCTTCAAAGGCCCGCCCGCCCCGCCCGCACGCCTCGCCCGCGAGGGTCCGCCCGCCCGACCCGCCCGTTGAGGCGGGCTCCCCAGGCGGGGCCCCCCTGCCAAGACTGCCGTGCGGCTTCTCTCCTCAACGTTCCCCTTGCCCATGGCTGTTGCGGCTGCTGCTGTCGTCGTCCTCGCGCGCGACCCGTCCGCGACCCGCCCGCGACCCGCCCGCGAGCCAGCGGCGACGACCCACCCGCGACCCACCCACACTGCCTTCACGAAAAATCAGCGCCTGCGGCAGGCTCGTTCTGTAATGTGAAAGATCTGCGCCTGCGGCGGGCTACTCTTGCGTTCGACCCTCGCAGACTGCTGCTAACCTCCCGCCCCCACCACTCTTATTCGCAACTGCGGGAGCTATGCTACTCTATACCGAAGGGGTCGAAGTTCTGCGCCAGCGCGGGCCGACGCAGAAACCCTGGACATGTTTTCGATACCCTCCTCTCCGGCGGCGGCCAAATACACAGGGCCCCACTGCGTCACCATCTTCCGCGTGCAATGGCACGGAGTCCCATGGAAGAAGAGAAAACGTCATAAACATGAACTTTTGGCGCTCCGCGCGGGTTTCTTGGATCTGCGCTGGACTCCCCTCCCTGGCGCGCGGAGCGTGCCAGGGGCAGCGCCGGAGGCGCCGCCAGGGGGCCCAGCGCGGATCCAAGAACTCCGCGCAGAGCGCCAACAGTTTACGTTTATGGCGTGTTTTCTCTTCTTCGGTCCCAGTCGTGCCACTCCACGATCGCAAGATGGTCGGCTCATATGTTCCCTTGCCTCGGGGCCCACTCCATAGATTCCTCATGGCGCTGTCGGGGGCGACGGCCGCGACGGCTCCTCCCGGTCGCGGACAAAGCCTCTTCCGCGCCGGTCGCGGGCGGGCCGGGCCTTTCTCCCCCGCTGGGGGGTCGGGAGAGAGTGCAGCAGGGCGCGCTGTGCAGTGGAAGACGCGCATGCCGAGGTCTTAACATCACAGTGGCACCTCAGCAACTCGCGGAGCACCGAGGGAAGACAGTGGTGACCCGTATACGGGTTCCCAATAGTCTAAGGTATGGTGTTTGATATACGCGTGGTGCCTCCGCCTCCTACTCAATCCTCCCCCATATCCCTGCTCAAGTTTCCTCAGACCCACTCATCCTCATCTACTCTCACTTAGATTCACTCACACTCAGACCCGCTCACACTTGGACTCATTCATGCTCAGGCTCCCTCTTACTCAGCTTCACGCGCACTCACACTCACGCGCAAAACAGTCAGACCCAGTTACACATAAACTGACTCATGTTCAGACTCACTCTCACTCACACTCAGACTCACCCACAAATTGTCGCTCGTTCTACCCGCTCATACTCGCATCCACTCGAACTCAGCAACCTCACCGCGAAATGGCAGGCACGGCACTCGGACCAGACTCCCGTTCGCGCCTGGATTGTGGGGATGTCTCTGGCGGTTCGATCGTTTGGGGTGGGGTGGGGGGGTTTGGGGGGGGCAGACGCGCCTCTCACGTGGTCGCATGGGCACCGCGATACAGCAGGCAAATCGTTCGGGCACCGCAGGGGGGAGCAGCCAGGGTGTACTGCTGACTACCTACCAGACCACCCCAACCCAACCCGAAGACCCGAATTTCGGGTTGGGGGGGGGGGTATGGGCTCCATACGTGTTTTTTCAATGTTCTCCGACCCCCCCACCACTGGAAATGGAGGGCAAATGGAGGCCTTCGGGTTGGGTTGGGGCGATTTGGTGGGTGATGAACTTCATGTTCCCGTTCGCGCCCAGATTTGGGGGGACAACTCGGGCGGTTCCCCCGCTGTTGGGGGTGGACGTCTCTTCTGAAGGGGCCCTGGGACACACAACTAAATACACACAAATGACAGGCGTCCACATATTTTCCCAGATGTTCTGGGTTTTGGTCTTCCCCCAAACTTCCAATGTTTTCCCATGTTTTCCTGGGGAATCGACGATTAATTGTGTCTGTGTTTTTTCCCCTCCTGATCCTCCAGACCGAGATGGCCGACCGAGCCCCCGCAGAGAGAGACCGCAGCCGCCCAAGCCCGACGGAGCGAAGCCAGCCCGGAGGGGCGGCCCCATTGGTAGGGGGCCGCATGCGAATCCGGCCCCTACCCCCCACGATTTCTGAGGGGGAGGGTGGGGTTCATTTCGTTCGGGAGCTCCCGAGCGAAGTGAACCCCACCCTCCCCATCAGAAATCGTGGGGGGTAGGGGCAGGGCTCGCATGCGGCCCCCTCATCGGCCCTCTCGGGCCGGGCGAAAGGGGGGGTAGCAAATGGGGGGGTTAAGAGTCAGCTCGCGTATAGCTAACTCTCCCGGCGCCTCCCGGCGCCCGGAGGCGCCCGTGCATCGAGGAGTGGGCCGGGCGGCGGGGCCGAAACCAGCTGCATGCAGCAGATTCCGAACCCCCCCTTTCCCAATCCCCCCCTTTCGTCCGGCCCGACTCGCGGCAAGGGTGAAAAACCTCGGACGCCAATACTGAAGCCCTCTTGAGCGAAAACGGCCGGTGAGAATGGCTGAGGATGAGCCGCCAAACTTACTTCGAGTAGGTCGGGTCGGAGGATCGCGCCGCATCGCCGATGCTTCGGCGATGCATCGGCCATGCGTCGGCGACGTCCGCCGTGCATCTGCGGCGTCGGCATGGAGGAACTCGGGCTCCAAGTCGAGCCGCATCGATGCGTCGGCGATGCGGTGCGATCCTCTGACCTCGCTCTACTCGGACACATCTGGGGAGGCCTGGGTGCCTCTGATGGAAGAAGAAGAGGAAGAAGAAAAAACTGCACAATCATAAACTGTTCGAGGTCCGCACGGACTTCTTGCACCCTCGCTGGACCCCCCTCCCCGGCGCGCGGCGGGGGCCTGGCGCCGATCCACGAAAATCCGCACGGAGCTCCGAACATTTATGCTTGCGCAGCTGTTTCTTACGTACTTCGATCGGTACTCGGACCCATTCTGGGAATGGTGGGCCGATTTCCCACCACCACTACCATAGGTAGGGCGGGAAGAAGAGAGGATAGGGGAGATCCTCCTCCTCCTCCTCCTCCTCCGCCTCCTCCTCCGCCTCCTCCTCATCCTCCTCCTCCGCCTCCGCCTCCTCCTCCTCCTCCGCCTCCGCCTCCTCCTACTCCCCCTCCTCCTCCTCGTCCTCCTCCTCGTCCTCCTCCTCCGCCGCCTCCTCCTCCCTCCTCCTCCCCCTCCCCCTCCTCCTCCTCCTCCTCCTCCTCCTTCCTCCTCCTCCTCCTCCCCCCCCTCCTCCTCCCCCTCCTCCCCTCTCTTACCAATGGCACCGCCCATCAGGGAAGCCTGGACACCTCTGCCCTGACACCCCCCCTGGCCCCGAGGCGAGGCGCCCGAGGGCCGCGGCGCCTGGCGCCTCCGCCGCGCGGCCCGCGGCCGCTGCGTCGCCGCCGCCCGCTGGGCACGCCGCGGCGTCCTCGCCGCCGCCGCCCACGCCGCCGACGCCGCCGACGCCGCTGCCGTCGCAGCTGCCGTCGCAGCTGCCGTCGCTGCCGTCGGTGCCGCCCGCCGCCGGCGCCGCCAGCGCCGCCGCCGCCGCCGCCGCCGCCGGCTGCGGCCGTCGCCGGCGGTGGCGCGGCGGTCGCCCAGCGGCGTCGGTGCCCGAGCCGCCGATGCCGTCGCCGTCGATGCCCACGCCGCCGATGCCCTGGCCGGTGCCGCAACCGCGGCCGACGCCGACGCCGCGGCCGCCTTCACCATCGCCTCCTCGAGGTTCGAGGATCGAGCTGTTCGTCCGTTCTGGGCCCTCTGGGCCTGGGCTTTGAGGGCCTCCGGGAGCACGGGCCCCTCGTCGCCGCCGCCGCCGTCTTTGCAAAGCGCTGTGAGACTTAGCAAGCTAGATGTGTTGATGATCCACCCTCGAACAGAACTTCGACGGCGCACGCAGCCTCGAGAATGGCAGCCTAATGCAAAAGGTGGCCAGCCAGTAGAAGCGATCCTGAGCCCCGATTGGCGGCGAAAACAAACTGTAGCGGAGGCTCGCACTTGGAAGACCCCCTCCGCAGTGGAAAGACCTCCTCCGCGACTGTATACGTAGATACTGGAATTACATGCACACGATTTTGGAAGGCCGAGTTCCACTGCCTTCTTGTGACTGGCGCCACCCAGCGAAGACAAACAAATCCCTGACGGGGCGGAGCAACAAGCGTCGTGGGCCCCTCAGCTCTTCGCCGCCGCGGCAATCTTCATGTCCGTGACCTCTCTCCTCAGCATGTCTAGCTCCATCTGCTGTTTGTCCATCTGGCGCTCGTCCTGGCGCTGCTGGTTAGAGAGCGCCTGGTCGGTACCAGACGGACCACGGTCGCGGGGCATCATGGTGTTGCTGATGGCGTTGCCGACCACAGTGCCGACCGCGTTGCCCACGATCATCTCGCCCATCGACGGCCCCGCGATGATGGGCGCGGCGACCACCGGGGCCGGCGCCACAATCACCGTCTTGTTCACAACCGTCTTGTTCACCACCGTCTTGTTGACCGTCGTGGCGCTGGGCGCCGGCGGCGCCGGCGGGGGAACGGGCCTGCTCTTCTGCTGGGCGGGGGCCGTGCTGCCCATGCGGCCGCCCATCTTCGCCGCCGAGGCCTCCGCGAGCGGCACGAGCGCCACCACCAGGGCCGCCAGCAACGACAGCGCGGCGCCCCCGAGCCGGAGCGGGGCCGTGCCGCTGGCGCCGCCCACGAGCGGCGGCGCGGTGGGCGCGGCGCCGCGGAGGGCTTCCCCAGCAGCGCCGGCAGCACTGCTCGCAGGGCTGGAGTTAGGTCGGGCATGTCCTCCTACAGGGGGATTCTGGACGAAAAATAGAGAAGAGCCCAAAAGTAAGCGAAAAGAGCAAGAAGTAGGCCAAAAAAGCGTCCCCAGGCCATGTTTGGACTGTTTTTGAACACTCCTCCTGTAAAGGGGCATGCCCGACTTAAGGCTGGAGGCGGGGGGGGCCACGAAGGCGGGAGCGAGCAGCGCGAGGGCGGCGGCGGCGGCCAGGGCAGCTGCGAGGCCCGGGGAGCGCTGGGCCGCCATCGCGGCTGGCTGGCTGTCCTTGGGTGCTGCGATGCTCGCGGGGCTGCCCCGGCGCGGAAGCGGCTCCGGCTTGGGCGGGGCGAGGACGAGGAGAAGGAGGAGGAAGAGGACGAGGAGGAGGAGGAGGAGGAGGAGGACAAGGAGGAGGCGGATGAGGAGGAGGAGCAGGAGGAGCGGGAGGAGCGGAGAACGGCTCCAGGGGTGAACTCCCCGAGGTCCGCGCGGACTTCTGCTGTTGGTGGTCTGGCCCTCCAGAGGTCCGCGCGGACCTCTCGGGTCGGCGGAGGGCCCCGGGCGCGCGAGGCGTGCCCGGAGCGCCGCCAGAGGCTCCGCCAGGGGGGGGGTCCAGTGCCAACCTACGAAATCCGCACGGAACTCTGCGGATGCCGCGTTTGGTGCGACTCTTCGGTTGCAGCCGCCGCACGGCGGAAGGATGCAAGGCACTTGGGCATCCGAGATTGAAGCAGCTCCAGCGGCGCCTGGCCAACGAAAATTGCCGTGGATGGGCCGAAACGCCAAGGATGCGAGCGCGCCCTCAAACCCCCCAAACGCCTCATTCGACGATCCTCAAAAGGCGTGTTAGACTGAGAGGCGACTGCTCCAAGATGCTCTTGAACGACATTCTTACTAAAGCAGTGCTTGACCTAAGTTCCCACTTGTTGCGAATTGGGCTGGCTCCCCGAGATTTCGCCACCTCTTGCCCGCTCCGTGCGCTGGCCGGGTTCTCCTGACTTTCGCACAGCGCCCGCCAGTGTCAGCCTCGTTCCCTCGTACCCGCCCCGCACCCGCCTCACGCGCTGGCTGGCAATTCCGGGCTTTCGCCCAATCCCTGGCCGTGCCGGCCTCCTGCGCCCTGTGCCCGCCAGTGCCCATCTCGTGCCCGCCTCGCGCGGTGGCGCGCAGTTCAGGATGCACGCACACATTGCTTGCGCCACCAAGACTGCACCACGTAGAATGCACCAAGTAGCTTGCACCCAAGAACCCCGAACCCTCGACCGCTTCGGGGCGCATCCAGAGGCACTGGCCAAAACATTTCAGCCAGACAGGTGGCCAAATCCTATACGCTGCGTAACCCCCAAGGGTCAGGGTCTGTTGTCTTGGTCCCCTCCTTTCACTCGGCGGTGAAGAGGACTGATCCTAAAACCTCCTCTTCCTCCTCCTCCTCCTCTTCCTCCTCCTCCTCCTCCTCGGCGTCCTCCTCCTCCTCGACCTCCTCCTCCTCCTCCTCCTCCTCCTCCTCCTCCTCCTCCTCCTCCTCTTCCTCCTCCTCGTCCTCCTCCTCCTCCTCCTCCTCCTCCTCCTCCTCCTCCTCCTACTCCTACTCCTACTCCTACTCCTACTCCTACTCCTCCTACTCCTACTCCTCCTACTCCTACTCCTCCCTCTCCTCCTCCTCCTCCTCCTCCCTCCTCCTCCTCCTCCTCCTCCTCCTCCTCCTCCTCCTCGACCTCCTCCTCCTCCTCCCCCTTTTCCCCTCCTCTTCCTCCTCCTCCCCCTCCCCCTCCTCCGCCTCCCCCCCGGAGGAGGAGGAGGAGGAGGAGGAGGAGGAGGAGGAGGAGGAGGAGGAGGAGGAGGAGGAGGAGAAGGGGAGGAGGAGGAGGAGGAGGAGGAGGAGGAGGAGAGGAGGAGGAGGAGGAGGAGGAGGAGGAGGAGGAGGAGGACGAGGAGGAGGAGGAGGAGGAGGAGGAGGGAGGAGGAGGAGGAGGAGGAGGAGGAGGAGGAGGAGGAGGAGGAGGAGGAGGAGGAGGAGGAGGAGGAGGAGGAGGGAAGGATGAGGAAACCAGACAGACCAGACATCGCACTCGGGTCCCCAATCGGTCGAAACCCGAACGGAATGTGAGCCGTGCTCGCTGCTCTGCAGCTAGTTTCCGCCAGCTGCTATGGCGAATGGCCTGTCGAAGGCCACCCGCGCAACCCCTACCAGGCGGCCCGCCGTTTCGGCGCGCAGCAAAAGTGGTACCCAGCCAATGGGGGCCAGAATTTCCGACTGCACCGCCTCGGACAAAAACGATACGACCACTGGGACGACTGGAGGCCCCCTTCACCCCTGCTCGGAATGGGAGAGGGAAGGGAAGAAAGTTTGGCCGAGGGGCGCGTTCACATCAGAACCCAATCCCTCCCCCCCGCCACGACCCTCACGGCGGCCACGACCCCTTTCCCCCTCCACTTATGGCGGCCAGCAGGCGCCGCCCCTGGCAAAAACATCACGAGCACATTCGGGAGCCCAGGGTGGGCGCACGTCGACACAGAAACCGCGTTTCGCTGTAAAACGTTCCTTGACGTAGGCCCCCTTTTGGATGAGCTGACGGAGCATGGACGATTTCTCGAACATAGAAAACTTCGCGCGAACGAACGGAGGGCGACGACCCCATATCCATTTGCAGGCCCAAAGCAGGCTGACCATTATGCCCCAACGCGCGCATGCCGTCCGATTCGAACCGATCGTCAAGGGCCCCAGGAGGCCCGAACAGGGGACCGACAGGAGGCCCGATCAGGGGACCGACAGGGGGGCGAACGAGGAGACAGAGGTCACGATCGACGAGGTCGGAATAGGAGGAGTGAGGAGGCGCAGCCAGGTTCACACTCTCACTCACTTGACCTGAGAGCCGATCCAGCGCTCGGTCGGGCCCGTCGGCGCTGCTCCTGGGATCTGCTCGCCGAGCTCGGTTTTTTTCACCATATACCCCACGAAGATGTGCCACAATGTCCTCGCTGCCTCGAGGTCCTACACACTGAACGAGATCGAGAGCACCCTGCGCCTGCCCATGTCCGTGCAAGCGCCTTCCTTGGGATGTCTGGCCTTCTTGTAGAGGCACTGAAGCACGGAGAACCCCAACTGCTGCGGCGTCCGAAGGCGAACGGTCTTCTCCCCCAGAACCCCACCGCGGCCCTGTGCCCGACCTCGCGCGGCGAAGCTCTGCCTGGCGCCTGCGGTCCAATGGCGCGCTGGACGATGACCACGAGGAGGGCCGCGTCGGGGGCGGCGAGGGCCTTCCAGTCGATCTTATCCCCTGCCTGCTGGCGCTCCTCCATGGCTTTTGACATGTCGCCGCGCTGCCGGCTGGCCTCCACGCGCGCTGCCCCCAAGGACCCCGCAGCCTCGCCCACGGAAAAAACAAACTACAGACAACGGCTCGATCGCCGCGCGCCTCTCCAGGTCCAAAGTGAGCTTCGCCACGTCGTTGACCATCGAGTCCTGGACGCTGTCCACGTTGCCTTTCTTGCTGTTCGGCGCCAATCCTGGGGCCCCAGCTCGTTTCGACGGCGGAGCCTGCATCCGCCCTGGCATCCCCGGCGCCGCCGGCGCTGCCTGCGAGCCCTCCGCCGCCGCCGCCGGCTGCGAGCCCCCGCCAGCCCCCGGCAAAATGCCCTGCCGCCGCGAATGGTTTTCCGCCGGGCCCGCTG